CTATATGATCCAAGAATTGAAAGCTTTACGCTGAGATCTATTTTTCAAACATTTTAATCACAATATTTAGAGGAAAAATAAAAACTGACAGCTATACAAAATCAGGACACTTGCTAGAGAGAGTGTAATTCATTGCTCTCCCTAGTGTAAGCACTCCCTGAAGGCAGAGACTACTGCATCCCTTGTACCTCAAACAGCCTGGCAGGCCATAGGCCAGTGATGGCGAACCTTTAAGAACTGCACGGTGAGACCTTGTCCCAAAAAAACAAAATAAAAGGGCTTTCAATGATACAAACAGCACACTGTTACACACGTGCCACAGGTTAGTCCTAGGCCACTACAGCAATGAGGAAATGGTGGACAATGGGGATAACCTGTAATACCTAAGAAAATATATAAAGATGCTTCCATTGGCAATATACTTGAAAAGCACTTGATTAAAGGAACAAAGTCTATTATTCATTCAGTGGATAGAAAAGTATTTATTGAACACCTATTAACAGGCACTGGAGCTAAACGGAGAGGAAAAATCATTCTTCTACTTAAAAGCTTACAGTCTTGTGAAAAGACAAAAACCTAGCACAAAAGCATACAAATATAATTACTAGTTGTGATAAAGACCATATAAAGTACAAGTCACAATGAGAAGCAACTTTCGTGAGAGGGCGGTGTTGAGAAATAAGGAAGGCAGGGCACCTATGTAAACAGAGAGAGTTAGGAATGACCAGAAACTACAGAGGGTAAAACATGGATGAGCTTCTGAATCACAGAGAACAGGGACTCCTTGAGTGGGTCAGGGCACTGGATAGCTGAGAGCATGAGCAAATGAACCAGGTTCTGGGTTCCTCCAGGCTCCCCAAATGCCCTGTGGGCCTTGTGTCTGAGATTGCAAAACTGGAGTCTTGCATCCTACCACTTACTAAACACCTAGGTTTGGCCAAGGCTTTAACTTTTTCAAGTTTTTGTAGTCAATAAGAATAAGAATAGCCACACTGCAGTGGAGTGGTAGAAGGATCAAATAAGACAGCATTTGAAACACATGATATAAGCACTGTAACTGTTTCCTGTGACTGTAACCATGAAGAAGAGCAGGAGGGTGGAGGGGATACCAATGACACCTCCTAATGAAGCTTTAAACCCTCTGTGGAAACAATCTGTAATCCAATACTTCTATCCTAGCTTAGGAGATCCCCTTCTGCATGTGTTTACATACCCATAACAATACCTAGGGCAATGGTTTTCAGTTGGCAGTGAATGGTTTTCACTTGGCAGCATCCACAGGAGATGGGCACCATACTTTTTTGATGCCTCATAAACTAAGAATACTACTAGAATATAATGGTCAGGGACCAAGGACACCACAGGTTTGCAACACGTGGCTCATCCCCATACATCAAAGAGCCAGTCAGCCCAAAATGCCAATAGTGTCCTATGGAGAACCACTGATAAAGGTGTCACAGAGGCAGTGTTTAGAAAACATTTGCTAAAAAAATGGATGATACTTGTGCTATTTATTTCCTTCAGGGCAGAGTAAACTGCCAGTTCCTTTAGATCAAGTTTATCTTCAAGCAGCCCGTTTATCTTCTCCAATTCCCCAACCCTGAACCTGACACAAAATAAGCATTTAGTGACTCTCTCCTAAACATTCAATCAAAAAATCAATGCAATCTATTAAACTGCAAGAAAGCATAGCTATTTGACATGGGCAAGTTAAGATGATAGCATTCGACACATTCCCTCCAGGTGTAAGATACTGGAACACAATACCAAAACCAAGAGGCCATAGGCTTTGCTCCCTCACCTGATATCTAATCTCAACTCTAAAATTTGAGCAGCCCAAGAACAAAGTCAGAAAAGGTAATGCTTTATAAGGATGATCTGTTCTATAGTAAAAAATTAAAGATATACTTTTTCTCTACACATTAGTTTAAAGGTAAATTAAACTTTCTTATGGAAGAAAAAAGCCATCAGAACAGTACAAAGATTGTTTCATATTGTACACTTTGTGTTTCCAATGAACAAAAGTAGTATTCTCAAAGACTGATATAACGAGAACTATGCAAGTATTTAAAACAGCAAAAAGTTGCAAAGCAATGGAATAAAGGATAATATCAAACAATGGAAAAAGAAAAAGTATCCAAAGATTTTTTTTTTTAAATTACAGCAAGCCAATTATGGTGATATGGCAGAAAAGAGAAAACATAAAACACTACACGAAAACAAGAGCAAAACAGTATGCAATAAGCATATAACATTAAAGAAAATACAATGGAATAATTTAGCAGCTTTGTTAAAAGGTTTGGAAATAAAAAGTGAATTACAGCAAATATATTTCATATTCATATCTTTTACATTTTTAATTGATACTTCTCTAACAAGGAAGTGTTTTCTCAAATTGAAAAATGAATGGCAAGGATCTCAAAACTTGACTCTCTGAAAAACAATGAAATAAAATTAAATTTTGTAATAGGATCTTTCCGTACCTCAGAGCAGTCAAACACTGCTAGGTTGTTCAAAATAAACTACCAATATCAATATAACTATGAATTTCATTACAGGGGCTCTGTACAAATGATATAAAAGAACAGAGAGAAAGGCAACATATAAGCAAATGGACAAATAACAGTCATCCACAGTGATGTCAAAATTTTACTACTATCAGAATGTTTCTAACTTGCTTCTTTAGAGAAGTTAAATACATCTTTAGCAAACTCCTGATAATCTCCCAGGATAAGACTGGTTTATCTGAACAAAGGGTTGACTGAGGAGGTAGTACAAACACTTTTTCTCATATACATCAGAAAAAACTGTTTGAACTATTATAAAAGTACAGTAGGACTACAGTAGTACTAAGAATATTCATTTTTTAAATGTTGCATGTTTTGTGAAGGGAAGAGTGTATCTTCCAACAATACAAAGAATGGATCAATAATGGGCAAGAGACAAAACAATTCTTTCAGAAGTACCTTTGAGGGGAGGTCCTGGATGAAAGAAATTGGATGTAATGGTTAAGGCCATTCCTTTGCGGCCTTACATCTATTCACCCATTCTGAAGTGAAAAGAGAACTAGGAAAATGATCTCCGTTGTCTACACAGCTTACTTCCGGGTTACTACCTCTTCTTGCGTTATAGCCCAGCACAGGCCATACAACTGGAAATACAGCAAGGTTACAGCAACTGACTGCTACTATCTAGGCCTGTACATTTACAGAAAGGTAACATCTGAACCATGGGAATAACCAATCATAGATGTTACCTGCCACTCATTTAGATGCTTATGAAGGCTCACACTCTCCACAGCTTTAGTATTTAGTTCTTTAACCTAAAGAGAAATAAAGGAAAGAAGGAAAGAAGGAAGGAGGGAAAGAAGGAAAGAAGGAAGGAAAGAAAAAAGGGAGGGAGGAAGGGAGAAAGAAATGAAAGAAAAAGCAATTCCAAAAGGTACCATAAGGAGTTGATGTCATTAAATATTAAGGGGGCCTTTCTGCTCTGTAATCAAATTCAACTTTTTTTTAATTAGTAAATGTTTGCAGTACATAATGTTTACATTCACTTATGGAGTAAGTACATGTACCTAATCTATTAATTTTTTTAATCCCCTTTCCTTCCCCAACCCCTTTTCAATTTTTTTAGTCCATGACAAACCCAGTTTTAACCAGAAACTTGATGTCCAGAAAAACTACATTGTATAAGGATCTACTGAATAAAACGACTTTGTGTAGTACCACTTGATAAAATGCAAAGTTCTCCTAAAGTTCTCACAATTTATTACAAACACAGCAGCCCTGGTATAAAGCTCCACTTACTGTAAAAGTTTCTCCATAAATGGAATTCCTCATTTCCATCCAAAGTACTTAAATGGTTTATTTTACTGCATCGTTTGTATCTGTGGCTTTAACACTTTTACTGATTTATTATAACAAGGACATTCCATGTGGAAGTCTAAATATCCCCTTCTTTGTTAACCAAAAGCTAAATATATACTTGAGGGAATAATATGTATTATGTTTTTTAAGCAATACAATTTGTTATCTTCTGATCTAATCTTACATTAGGTTTTTATTCCACAGGTATCTTGCAATCTTTGGTTTTGGAAAAAGATACAATTTTGACAATGTCAATGTAAAATTAACTATCGAACATGGATGGATGGATGGGTGGATAGATAAGATTGCCTGAAATCACAGGTCACAAACTTGTGGTCTCGGCAACTATTTTTGAAGGCATAATTCATTTTTCCTAAAAGGCCATTATGACACCTAAAGCCTCTTCAGGCACTGTTCCCTGTCAACCTCAAATTTTCTTTCAAATGATCACATGCTAAGTTTATGTTCAGCAACAATCAACAAATCCCTCACCTTGCTCTAAAAAATAAAAAAGCCCTTCCCCTTTACGCAAAGACACTAATCACCTTTTACCTTCTGTTGTTCAAAGGGGAAATTTGTTAATGACGTTTTCTTTTTGACATCAGCACAAATCACACCTACTCAAGGGCCTACCTCCAAAAACTGTACCACACATAAGCATTATTCGTGATCTTGTTTTAAAAACTGAAAGGTATCCATGCTTATTTTATTTTCACAAGGGCATCTCAAGGTCTTTAAAAGGAAGACTACAGTATTTTGGACAAGTGGCCTGCTTCACCTACTGCAATCATTTTTTCACTCGCGGGCCCCTCACCCAGCCTGTGCGTACTGCACACGTCACTGAGTGACCGCCTTCAGCTCCCGCACACCTCTACCTGAACAGCACACGGGGTTTCACTGCGGATTTCCCCTCTCCTCCAGCTTCCCCTTGTAAAGCTGCCTGCTCCCTCCCCCAAAAGCTCTTCCTACTGCAAAGGGGCGAGCGGTGCAGGATGCTAAAGCTCCCTCTGCAGAGGGCGCGCACGCATGCGCAGTTCCGGGCCGGGCCCGGCGCCGCAGGTCTTTGGCTAGGGCGGCCCGGGGCCCGAGGTCTAACAGGGCGCTGCGGCGAGCGGGGCTGACGGGCACACTCACAATTTCAGCATCCACTCGCCCTCCATCACCAGCGTCCAGTTGGAAGCGGTCATGGGCTGCACCCGGCTGGGCTCCGCCGGCACCAGGGCCTGCTCGGGGCCCTCAGCGGCCGCCAACGCCGCGACCCAGGCGACCAGGAGCGCCGTCCACAGCGGGCCGCAGCGCCCGCCCGCCATGCTGTTGGCGCGGGAGACGCTGCTCCGCGGCTGAGGGCCCTGGGGCGGACGCCGAGCCGCGGCCTCCTGAGGCGGTCGAGAAGGCGAGCCGCCCCGCCTCCGCCCGAGCCCAGCCTGTCCGAGCACAGCGACCCGCCGTGAGGAGGGAGGGCGGGCGGCCGGCGCAGCCTCTTATCGGCCGGGGCCGCGAGGCCACGCCCCTTCGCGCTGCGCCGTTGCCCGGGCTGCCGGTTGCTACGGCAACGGCCGCCCTTTCCTCTGACAGCCAAGCTGAAAATAAACAGATGACCCAAGGTTTAAATTAGAGCTGCGCTGCAGGCGCTCAGCCCTAGGCAGAGGGGTGGGCTATGAAACCTGTCCCTTGTGCCTAACCTAAGAAATGTGGCCCGTAATTTAAAAATGCATCCCCTCTTCAGTGCTGTCACAAACCACTCCGGAGACTGCGGAGGAGGGGTGCAGTGAATGTGTAGATTTAAGAGTTCATTGAACGTGTACCTCAAAGAAAGCGTCCCCACCTCGTCGGTCATAATGATACAACTCGATCATACAACTCATGTTCTTACAAGAACATGTCAATGTTACAGAAATTTTTAAAACATGAGCACAACAGGTAAAATGAGGCAGCTAATAATATTATTACCAACTGTTAATAATATTAACCATTACCAGCTAATAATAGTATTACCACCGCGTGTTTCTTTCAGCTGGAGTTTTGTCGGATCTAAAATGAAAGTGGCCCTAAATAACTTCCATATCTCTTTCCACGTGAATATTAGATGAATCTGTAGCTTTGGACCACCGCATTTTGAATGTACGGGAGAGAGTGTGTAAGTTTTTTCAGCGTGTGCTTTAATACGACTTATTAGATGCTCAGAGCTGAAATTCAGTTGTGTGGTTAATATAGCCTGGGAAATATGTAGTTTCTGGCCTGCACTTGAAACAGACAGCTTTACAACTGATAACACCAAGGGTACGTGAGATTAATCTCCAATCAGTAAAATAGGAAAGATTAATTTTGCATGAACAGATCGTGCTTCAATTAGCTGCTAATTAGTATTAGATAAAAGCTATGTAGACCTAGCTCTTCTCATCGAAATATAGCCCTGAAGAATTTATGAACTATTGTAAATTAGAAAAATGTCTTTGAGTGTCACGAAGACTATTATGGTTATACATCAATCCTACACATTCAATGGAAAACACTTTACTGTGCTTATAAAAAGAAATCAATCACAAACAGGAAATCTGTCATTCTTTTCAGTGTAGCTTTTTTGTACAGGGTATGTGATGAGTAAAACAAATAATCTTAGCATCTGCTATTAATAATTGCTACCAGTTTTGTTAAATATGATAATGATGTTATGACCCTATTTTAAGTCATCATTGGTTATCATAAGATATTTATGGGTGAAATAATATGATGTTTAGAATTTGCTTTAAACTGCTCCAGAAATAAAATATGGAGAGTAGAGGGAAAATGGATGAAACAAGAGTGATACAAGGTTGTGATAATTAACTTATTGAGTCACCTTGAGTAAGAAATACCCATCTGAATTGGCTCAGCATAGTTCTGGGCATGGAAGACCCGCCGTAGGGAGAGGATTATCGCCAGAATGTTATAAAAGGGAAATGAGGAAGGACTGCTTCTGTTTGCTTTGCAGGAGCTCCAGTCTTTGCTTTCACCTTGGATATTGTCTCCTGCCTTTCAGTGCAGACCCTTCAGCCTCCAGCATCGACCTTCAGCCTTCTGGTGCCCACCCACCCCACTCCCACAGAACACTACACGGGGCTCCAGGGCTTTGACTGGATTTTTCAGGTCCCCAGTGCACAAACAGACCTTTTGCACTCTTCCACACCTGACTCTGTGGCTGGCCGTCATAAGCCAGTCTATAAGTTGTTATACATTTGTATATCTTATATCTGTTTCTGTAGGAAACATCAAGTGATACTCTGTTGGTTTGGGGTTTTTTGCAAGGTGAACAATGTAATACAGGATATCTATTTATAAGATTATTCGTTTTTTGGTTTTTTTTGGTTATTTCTCCGTTACTGGGAACCAAACTCACGACCTTGCGCTTGCCAGGCAGGCACTTTTGCCGCTGAGCTAAATCCCCAGCCCCTATAAGATTATTTGTAATAGAAACCCAAAGAATCATATACAGGAGAATGCAGGAAATTTGTCTACACATTAAGGACCAATGAATCCACCTGAGGGCCTGAATCCGGCAATAATGTCCTGCATGAGTCCAGCTGAAGACCTAAAGCCCATAACAAGGCCTCCCATGAGTCCAACTGGAGGCCCAGAGCCCACAACAACATCTAATACAGTCCTGTTTCACGGATCTGCACTAGGAAGGCCCAAAGGTCAGTGGTGGAATCTAGAAAGTCTGTGCCAGCGGGATGAAGGATCTGTGCTAGCAGGCTGAGGGATCTGAACTGGAGCCAGGAAGCGACACTCAAAGTAAGAACCAGAGCTCCCCCAAAAAGTACTATGGTCATCCTCAGCAACAATGAGGTCCTGAGCTCCTCCAATGATGAGGACAGCTGAATTCCCATCAGGAAAGTCAACATGGCAAGCTTTCCCAGGAGACTGAGTAGGGTACCATCTTCCCCTCTGGAGCCAGGAAGCCATGCTCAGAGTGAGGACCAGAGTTCCCCCAAAGTGAATCAAAGCCAGTCTCAGAGACAACAAAGTCCCAAACTCCTTGGAGAATGAAAACAGCCAAATTCATCAGGAAAGCCAGCATGACAAGCTCCTCCAAGAAAACCAGCAGCTCCTTACAGCTTCTCTCTGCTTCCAACAGGCTCCCAAGAGCTTCTACCAGCTCCCAACAGCCTATCCTCATCTCCTCCAGTTCTGCCACTTATGCTGCTGGCAACAGTCCCCAGGTGGGCCTCCCACATTCAGCACCAGGCTCACTCAGTTCAGCTGGGGGTTACAAGATGACCACCACAAATACAAAGGGTCAGTGTTAAACTTAACTTCATGTTCCTATGTTACCTACTTTTCTACGTGCTGGAATATTTCAAAACGAGGAAAACCGAGTGAAAGCCTCTGAGTCACAAAAGAAACTCATCATCACTGAAGCACTTACCACCTCTAACATAATTGTGTTCAAGGATTGCCCATCTTGGCCTTTAGATGGAGGAGGACAGAGGATAATGGGAAACAATGCAGCAGCGTACATGAGAGACACTTTGCCATTGGAACAGGGAAAGGTTCACCACAGAGAAAGGGAGCAGATCAGATCACGATGTCATCTTGGCCCTGACACTTTGGGGCCATGTGATCTGGGGCTAATACTAGTTTCCACCAAGCTTCTGCTTAAATGCAAGAAATGGTAGGACCTGCTGCAAAAAGTAGCAGTGAAGATGATACAAGTTTAATGCCATGACTCAAAATGTCATTACTATTTGGAGACAACAATATCCTGTGAGGCTTTTACAGAACTGTTTTCCCTAAAGCCAAGTTCGCTTAGCATCACACACAATATTCTTCACAATCCAGCTTCAGTTTCACCCACTTTGCCTTCCCCCCTTTCCCACAATTCCCTACGATCCAGTAACACAGAGCTACTCCCATTCCCCAGGCACACTGTGTACTTGCATGCCTTTTTGTTTCTTCATTCTGTTTATAATAGTTACCTAGTGAGTCATTAGGCAACCTCTACTACGTAGCTCACTATACCTCCAGTCGCCCATGCAGAATTTACTGCTGTGTCTTCTCAGGTCCAATAACTCCTCTCTATAACCCTACCACACCCCTTTCATATTTAACACAAGTCATTAGTGATCACCTTCTCTCTCCAATTCTCCAACCCTTACTAGAAACGCTTCAAGGTTAAGATCTTTACCTTATATATCATTATATCTCTTGCATAACAGAATACCCACCAAATAGCAGAACGTAGGGTAGGCAGCTTTTGGAACATTCTCCAAGATCCCCATCTGCTGGTGCTCGAGCCCCCGTGGAATTATTTCCTCTTTAGTGTGGGCTGGGCCCAGTGACTCACTTCTAACTAATAGAATATGACAAAAGTGGTGGAGTGTTCTACAATAAATTTACAAACAGGTGGTCTGGATGGTTCCCTGTATTCTCAATGGACTTCAAATAAGAACAATATAAGTTTTTATGAAACCCTATTGTACTACTGTCCCAGAGCTCATCTCTCATCTTTAAAGCCCAGCCTAGACTAACAAGCAGCAAAACTAATGGAGGTCCTCTTCAATCTAACACAAAGCCACTGAAATTTGGAATTGTCACTGAAGCATCGCCCAGCCTGTTGTGACTGACTCACACCGTCTTTTTCTGATGACTTAATCAATAGTAGCTTAGGATGAAGGAGGTGATATTTCCACCTACCACTTCCCTTTCACCTTTTGCAATTAGCCTCTGAGATGCTTGTTTTGGCAAAAGACACTGGGGAGAATTGTTATTAAGCCCTTGGGGAGCCAATCCTGATGGTATAAACTTTTAATCCATAATTACCAGCCAAAGACTTTGATATAATTGGCAATTTAAAACTCAATGTTAAGAGGCTAATGAAGGCGAGATAAGCAGATTGCATTCAGATAACAAAATTTCTATAATAATAGGATATAGAAATAATAGTATATAGCAATTTCCCTGTTGAGGATAGTTAAACCGGTATGAACATATTAAGTAAGCTAAGAAATGCTGTAAAATTAGTCTGTAAAGTAATAATAGTGAAGGAATTTAAGTACACAAACAGATTTGCTAAATGCCTTACAGGAACAAGAGGTAGAAGGGAGAATTTAAATAAGACACAGTAATATGTCCTAGAACAGATGGTAGAAAAAGCCATGACAGAGGGAAATAAAATGAAGTGTACCCAGAGTTGTTATTGGAAAACAAATCCAAAAAGAGCCTCACAAAACTCCAAGAAATAACCATAGAACCACATCTTGATGAAAGAAAACTGACTAATTTTTAAGGAACTAATAAGAGTGCCCAGGGAAGTAACAGCTGCATATAAGTGAAAGATATACAAATCATTTTTCCTTCCACCAAGAGGAAATAATTTTAGCATGTAACATAGACAAAGATTCCATCCAATGGAAAAAAATATTTCTTTAAAAATTTCAAAATATATGAAAGACATAGGATAAAAGGTAT